AGAAATTCCTGCCAGACACGGAAAAAACTCAAACCAGATGTTGGAGATGAGCTCTCAGGAGCTCATCCCAGCCAATCTGCCCGTGCCCATGTGGAGCTATGTTTAACTTTTATCTATTTGGTTTTTTGTGAAATGTCTCACCCATGTAGAAAAGCATGTAAACAGACTGGGCATGGTGACTCAGGCCTGTAATCCCAGCACTCAGGGAGGCCGAGGCGAGCAGATCACTTGAGGTCAGGGGTTTGAGACCAGCCTGGCCAACATGGCAAAACTCCATCTCTACTAAAAATACAAAAATTAGCCAAGTGTGACGGTGTGTGCCTGTGATCCCAGTCACAAGGAGGCCGAGGCAGGAGAATCACTTGAATCTGGGAGGCAGAGGTTGCGGTGAGCTGAGATCACGCCATTGCACTCCAGCATGAGCAACAGAGCAAGACTCTGTCTCAAAAAGAAAAATAAATAAGGCCGGGCGCGGTGGCTCACGCTTGTAATCCCAGCACTTTGGGAGGCTGAGGCAGGTGGATCACGAGGTCAAGAGATCGAGACCATCCTGGTCAACATGGTGAAACCCCGTCTCTACTAAAAATACAAAAAATTAGCTGGGCATGGCGGTGCGTGCTTGTAATCCTGGCTACTCGGGAGGCTGAAGCAGGAGAATTGCCTGAACCCAGGAGGCGGAGGTTGCAGTGAGCCGAGATCGCACCATTGCACTCCAGCCTGGGTAACAAGAGCAAAACTCCATCTTAAAAAAAATAAGAAAAGCATGTGAACAAAACTCTTTCTGGCTATCATTTTGCCCTGTGTCTTCAGACAAAGACTCCAGTGAGAATGCCAAACACAGGCAAGGCTTCTTCTGAGGTCTTTCCTGAGTCTGTTGCTCTGCTTCCCTTTCCAGAGGTGAGACTGTTCTGAAACTTCCTGCCCGTGGTGTTTACAATCATGGCACCTCTCCCCACTGTATGTGCCTGTGAGCATTGCCTGAGCACCACCTCTCTGTAATTAGGAATCTGCCTGTTCCTCTAACATTCTGAGGTGAGTGTGTGCAGGCTGAGAGATGTATGTCCCATTCATTCATTCATTCATTCATTCATTCATTCAACTATACTGTCATAGTCCACATATTCTACAACGCCTCCTGCATTTTAAATTAATCATTCATCCCCAAATTCAACTTGTTTCCCATTTTTCACAGTTGCAATGTTGAAATTACACATTTTTTTTCTGGTTTCCTTGTGCATGTATGAAAATGTCTCCAAACGACGTATACCTCTGCAAGTTTCAACTCCAGTCATTTTTTGAAATTCTCCTCCGATACCACCGTGCAGATGAACAGAGACACCACATTCCACCAGCCTGTAAGAAGTGACAAGCTCCATACACTACTGTGATTTTGATTTGCATTTCCTGGATTGCAGGTATGATTAATAATCAATTGTGTGGTTTAATGTCCTTTTATTTCCCTTTTCTGTCAAACATGATATCCTTCACCTTTTTAAAAAAGCACAGCCAGGCATGGTGGCTCATGCTTGTAATTCCTCAGGAGGCCGAGACAGGCGGATCACTTCAGGTCAGGAGTTCAAGACCAGTAGTGAAACCTCATCTCTCCTAAAAATACAAAAATCAGCTGGGCATGGTGGCACACGCTTGTAACCCCAGCTACTCAGGATGCTGAGGCAAGAGGTTCACTTGAATCTGGGAGGCAGAAGTTGCAATGAGCTGAGATTGCACCACTGCACTCCAGCCTGGGCAACAGAGTGAGACTCCATCTCAAAATAAAACAGAATAAATAGTAAGAGTTTAAAAAGATGTAAGTATTTAAAGCTAAATTTTTTGTTTTTTGAGACAGAGTCTCATTCCATTGCCAGGCGCCAGGCTGGAGTGCAGTGGCGTGATCTTGGCTCACTACAACCTCCACCTCCCAGATTGAAGCAATTCTCCTGCCTCAGCTTCCCAAGTAGCTGGGACTACAGGCACATGCCACCACGCCCAGCTAATTTTTTTGTATTTTTAGTATAGACGGGGTTTCACTGTGTTAGCCAGGATGGTCTCAATCTCTTGACCTCGTGATCTGCCCGCCTTGGCCTCCCAAAGTGCTGGGATTACAGGCGTGAGCCACCGCGCCTGGCCTAAATCTAAAATATTATCTCTAAGAAGTGATTTGTCTGTGTTCCATAAATTTTGATATGTCGTGTTTTCATTTTTATTCCATTTAAAACTCTCCTTATTTCTAATTACTTCTTTGACCCATGGGTTATTCAGATATGTGTTGTTTAATTTTAAAGTATTTAGAGTTGGGCACAGTGGTTCACACCTGCAATTCCAGCACTTTGAGTGGTCGAGGCAGCTGGATCACTGGAGGCCAGGAATTTGAGACCAGCCTAGACAACATGGTGAAACCCCGCCTCTACTAAAAATACAAAAATTAGCTGGTCATGATGGCACACACCTATAGTCCCAGCTACTTGGGAGACGGAGGCAGAGGAATCACTTTAACCCAGGAGGCGGAGGTTGCAGTGAGCCAGGATTGTACCATCGTGCTCCAGCCTAGCAACATAGCGAGACTTCGTCTAGGAAAAAAAAAAAAAAGAGCTAGACCAAGGAAATAACTATGCTCGTGAGGTCGGTAATGGCCAAATAGCAAACAAGACTGGGTCCTGTGGTCCAGTTATAGTTAAATACAAATCTACCCCTCCATCTGTGTGCCAAAAGCGGGTTCTTGACCTTCGTACTCAAAGAGGATGCTGTCTACAGTTTCTCAATTTCCTTCCAGCTTGCTATGGTTACAGGACACCTTTTATATCAAAATATCTTCAGATACATGTTACTTGTTTTCATATTAAAATATCCTCAAACTTAGAGACATCTACCAAAAAAAAACAAAAAACAGCAAAAGGTTCTTGTATGCAAGTCACACAGAATGATCAATTGTAATTTTTTTTTTTTTTTTTGAGATGGAATCTTGCTCTGTCACCCAGGCTGGAGTGCAGTGGCATGATCTTGGCTCAGTGCAACCTCCACCTCCCAGGTTCATGCAATTCTCCCTGCCTCAGCCTCCCAAGTAGCTGGGATTACAGGCACCCGCCACCATGCCCAGCTAATTTTTTGTATTTTTAGTCGAGACGGGGTTTCACCTTTCTGCCCAGGCTGATCTTGAACTCCTGACCTCAGGTGATCCACCCACCTCGGCCTCCCAAAGTGCTGGGATTACAGCCGCGACCTACTGCTCGAGGCCCAATTGTAACATTTTGCAAACATTTGCTAGATATCTCTCTCTCTCCTTCTCTCTCATATATAATATTAATTTTTCCCTAACCATTCAAGAGTGAGTTACAGATATCATTCTTTTATTTCTCAAAACATCTGTGGATATTGTCTAAGGACGAGGCTATATCTTATATAACCTCAGTAAAAGTACAGAAATCAGGGACTCCACCTAGGATACCATCCTCCTATCTAAATATCTATGTTGCATATTCAAATTTGGCCAAACTTCCCAATAATAAAGTTAGAACGCGTTTGCGTGTGTGTGGTCCAAGGTTCACATCGCGCTTAGTTTGCACGTCCCTGTAATCTGGAACGTCTGTGTGCCCAGCTTTTGTTTGTTTTTCACAAGAATTTCACGGTTCAATGTGTACAGGCCCATTATGTTGTAGACTGTCCCTCAGTTGGGGTTCACATGATGTTAGCTCAGGAATATATTCAGGGCTAGAGGTTTTTTGTTTTTTGTTTTTTGAGACGGAGTTTCTCTCTTGTTACCCAGGCTGGAGTGCAATGCCACGATCTCGGCTCACCGCAACCTCTGCCTCCTGGGTTCAGGCAATTCTCCTGCCTCAGCCTCCTGAGTAGCTGGGATTACAGGCACGCGCCACCATGCCCAGCTAATTTTTGTATTTTTAGTAGAGACGGGGTTTCACCTTGTTGACCAGGATGGTCTCGATCTCTTGACCTCGTGATCCACCCGCCTCAGCCTCCCAAAGTGCTGGGATTATAGGCGTGAGCCACCGCGCCCGGCGGAGGCCTAGAGTTTATGTTTAAAACACAGCCACATAGAAAGGGAAGAGGGAGAAAAGTTCAGTGACCTCTGATGGCCAAAGTCAACTTCATTTGTGCCAGGCCCTGTGGATAGTAAGTCCCGCTGATGGCGTGTGATGATCATGGTATTTTACCTCTGTGACCTTCCTCCCCAAAACCCAAGAATCCATTTGTTGGATGAGAAAACATGCAATAAATCCCAGTGCAAGAGCGTCGTCCAAAATATCTGACTAGTGTCCTTCAAAAAAACAAGAGAAGTCGGACAGGCACAACGGCTCACACATGTCATCCCAGCCCTCTGGGAGGCCAAGGTAGGCAGATCATTTGAGGTCAGGAGTTCAAGACCAGCCTGGCCAACGTGGTGAAATCCCATCTTGCAATTTTTGTAAAAATACAAAACTTAGGTGGGCGTGGTGGCAGATGCCTGTAATCCCAGCTACTCGGGAAGCTGAGGCAGGAGAATCACTTGCACTCAGGAGGCAGAGGTTCCAGTGAGCCGAGACTGTGCCACTGCACTCCAGCCTGGGCGACAGAGCGAGACTCCATCTCAAAAAAAAAAAAAAAAGTGAAGAAAGTCTAAGAAAGTGTCACAGCCAAGAGGAGCCCCGGAAGACATGACGAGTGTATGTCGTGTAGTCTCCAGGATGGGATTTTGGAGCAAAAAAAAAAAGAGCAGCACGAGATGAAAACTAAGGAAATCCAAATTAAGTATGGAGTATGGGAACTCTCTGCACTCTCTCTGCAATTTTTCTGTAAGTCTCAAACTGCTCTAAAAAATGAAGCATGTTAAAAATATTTGTCCTTCTGTTTGTCGTTGAATTTGCAGTTCGCTCCCATGAACTCAGACTCAGATAACCCCTAAAATGGTCTCAGGATTCATTCAGGATTTTTGAGTATGGATCGCACTACTGCTCTCTCTGTCAGCAAAGAAACTTCGCAACGAGCACGTGGCACGCCAGAGCGAGGTTAAAGATCGTTTTATCCTTGCTATAAAAGCTGACCTCCCTGTACCTGCCACAGCCTCTACTGGCGGCCACAGCTGAAACCCAGCGCCAGGCAGGAATTGCTCAGCATCATGTCGGATGATTTCCTATGGTTCGAAGGCATACCTTTCCCTAACACAGGTCTACAAACTGAAATCCTAAGAAAAGTTCATGATGAGTTCGTGATAAAGGATGAAGATGTAGTAATAGTGACTTACCCCAAATCAGGTAAGGAGGCAGAATCGTGGACAGAGGAAGGCTGTGGTTGGATTCCTCATCCATTCAGTAGATGACTGAAGTGCTTTCTCTATGCCGGACAACGAGCATTGCTTTGTGGGGAAGGGAGGAACGCCTAATACCATTGACAATTGGAGAAAAGGATTTAGCCAGGAAATTACACAGTAAGATGAGTGCTCAGAGGGCGAATCTAAGGTATTCAGAGAATCTACAGGACTGAATCCTAAGGCAGATTCAGGTGATTGTTTAGTGTCGGTGGGAAGGAGTATGGCTGAGGATGACCAGCCCTGAGAGAAGAAATGCCTCTTAGATTGAAATAGAAAGAATGAGTGTGAAATTGCTTGGTGGGGAGGGGATATTTTCCTATAGGAGGATCATCATGGACAATGGCCAGGAATTGGAAAAGAACCTGACAAGCTCAAGGGGCTGAAAGATGAGGATCATGTGTCCACAGGAGTGGGGCTGTGGGGCGGGACGGGAGTGGGGCTGTGGGGCAGGGCAGGAGTGGGGCTGTGGGGCGGGGGGCGGTAAGAGCGCTACGGATGGATTGAGGATTGAGGCTGAAGACATTGGAAGTGGCATGACCCTGAGAGACCAAGAACAATGGGAACTTATTAAAAGGATTTCAACAAATAGCCAAAAGGTGACCAGGCGCGGTGGCTCACGCCTGTAATCCCAGCACTTTAGGAGGCCGAGGCAGGTGGATCACGAGGTCAAGAGATTGAGACCATCCTGGTCAACATGGTGAAACCCTGTCTCTACTAAAAATACAAAAAATTAGCTGGGCATGGTGGCGCGTGCCTGTAATCCCAGCTACTCAGGAGGCTGAGGCAGGAGAATTGCCTGAACCCAGGAGGCGGAGGTTGCGGTGAGCCGAGATCATGCCATTGCTCTCCAGCCTGGGTAACAAGAGCGAAACTCCGTCTCAAAAAAAAATAATAATAATAACCCAAAGGTGGAAGCAACCCAGATATCCACCGACAGGTAAGTGGTTAGACAAGATGTGATATGTGGATACAGTTGAATGTGATTCATCCTTGAGAAAGAAGGAAATTCTGGCGCATGCTGCAACACGGATAAACATCAGGGACATTATGCTAAATGAAATAAGCCAGTCACAAAAATATAAATGCTGTGTGATTCCACTTACTTAAGGTACCTAGGGTCATCAGACTTCATAGAAACAGGAAGTACAGTGGTGAGTGCCAGGGATTGAAGAGAAGGGCAGATGGAGAGTTGATCCTGGTTCTGCATAGAGTTTCAGTTTTGCAAAAGTCCTCTGCAGATTGGTTGAGCAACAGTGGGAATATACTTAACACTACAAAACTGTAGCCTTAGAAGTGGTTGAGAGGCGGGGCACGGTGTCCCACGCCTGTAATCCCAGCACTTTGGGAGGCCAAGGCAGGCAGATCACCTGAGGTCAGGAGTTCGAGACCAGTCTGGCCAACATGATGAAACCCTGTCTCTAAAAAAAATACAAAAATTAGCCAGGTGTGGTGGCTCATGCCTGTAGTCCCAGCTACTTGGGATACTGAGGCAGGAGAATCGCTTGAACCCAGGAGGTGGAGGTTGCAGTGAGCCAAGATCACGCCATTGCACTCCAGCCTGTGCACAGAGCAACACTCGGTCTCAAAAAAAAAAAAAAGAGGGGAGTTGAGAGCTGGCCACAGTGACTCACGCCTGCAATCCCAGGGCTTTGAGAGGCCAAGGCAGGAAGATGGCTTGAGGTCAAGAGTTCAAGACCAGCCTGGAAAACAGCAAGGCCTGGTCTCTATAATAAAATTTTCTAAAAAAAATTAGTTCAGTGCAATGGTGCATGCCTGAGGTCTCAACTACTTGGGAGGCTGAAGCAGGAGGCCAAGGTATTAGGATCACTTGAGCCCAGAGGTCAAGGCTGCAGTGGGCTATAATTGCACCACTGCACTCTAGCCTGGGCTAGAGGGACACCCCATCTCAAAATATATATATATCAAAAAATAGGCTGGGCACGGTGGCTCATGCCTATAATCCCAGCACTTTGGGAGGCCAAGGTGGGTGGATCACGAGGTCAAGAGATCAATACCATCCCTATCTCAACATGGTGAAACCCATCTCTACTAAAAATATAAAAATTAGCTGGGCATGGTGGCGCGTGCCTGCAGTCCCAGCTACTCAGGAGGCTGAGGCAGAAGAATCTCTTGAACCTGGGAGGCGGAGGATGCAGTGAGCCGGGATCGCACCATTGCACTCCAGCCTGGGTAACAAAAGCAAAACTCCGTCTCAAAAATAATAATAATAATTTAAGATTGAGATGGTACATTTTATATTATACATATCTTACTGTAATTTTTTTCCTTCTTTTTCCAGGAACAAACTGGTTGATTGAGATTCTCTGCCTGATTCACTCCAAGGGGGATCCCAAGTGGGTCCAATCTGTGTCCATCTGGGAGCGCTCGCCCTGGGTAGAGAGTGACATTGGGTATAAAATGCTAAGTGAGAAGGAGGGCCCACGTCTCATCAGCTCCCACCTCCCCAGCCACTTATTCCCCAAGTCTGCCTTCACTTCCAAAGCCAAGGTCAGTGCGTAATGGTTCAGACGTGTTTGATCAATGCCTTTCAAACGCTCATGCGCCTGTAGGTGACCTGGAGATCCTGCTGAAATGCTTTCTCCTTCAGCAGGTCTGTGTTGTTGGGACCTGAGATTCCGTATTAGGTGACACCTGTGTGGCTGTTCCAAGAACTGTCCTTGAGTTCAAGGGTGTAGAGCACTTCACAGGTTATCCCAGCCAGATTTAAACCAGGGATAGGGTGAAGCGATAGTGCCAGAATCTTAGAAAACCAGGTTCTAAGCCCAGTCAAAATGGATAGCCGTATCATATACTATGCAACTGCCTTTTTTGCCCTAAAAAACCAATCTGAACTCACCAAGCACCTCCTGCCACTTAAAAGACACAGAGGTGTTCCTATAAGAAGCAGCCCATTCGGCCAGGCACGGTGGCTCACACCTGTAATCCCAGCACTTTGGGAGGCCAAGGCAGGTGGATCACCTGAGGTCAGCAGTTCAAGACCAGCCTTGCCAGCATAGTGAAACCCCAACAACACAGACCTGCTGTAAGTTGGGAAGCACCCCTTCCCAACCAGTGCCCCCCACAGAGGCAGACATTCCTGCCCTAAAATAAGTAGTATGTAGAAAGGGAATCAGAGAAGCAGGTTAATGCGGGCTGGGTACAGTGGCTCATGCCTGTAATCCCAGCACTTTGGGAGGCCAAGGCAGGTGTATTGCCTGAGGTCAGGAGTTCGAGACCAGCCTGATCAACATGGAGAAACACTACCTCTACTAAAAATACAAAATTAGCTGAGCACAGTGGCATATGCCTGTAATCCCAGCTACTTAGCAGGCTGAGGCAGGAGACTCTTGAATCTGGGAGGCAGAGGTTGAGGTGAGCCAAGATCATGCCATTGCACTCCAGCCTGGGCAACAAGAGCAAAATTCCATCTCAAAAAAAAAAAAGCAGCATCATATTCATCAACAAGGCCAGTATCCAGGCTGACTGAGCCGGTGCCACGTCTGGGCGCTCTTCCTACTGCGTCTCACTGTGTGTTGATATCAGCAGCCACACGCATCTCCCATGGGGCTGAGGGGTGATCAGGAGAGGGACAAGGTATATCCAGGACTTTGCATGGCTCAGACCATTTCTAGAATCATACTTTCCTGGAAGGTGTTTATTGGTGTGTGAATTTTTAAAAGTTTTTTTTTGCAGCCAGGCACAGTGACTCATACCTGTAATCCCAGCACTTTGGTAGGCTGAGGCAGGTAGATCACAAGGTCAGGAGTTCAAGACTAGCCTGGCCAACATGGCGAAACCCCGTCTCTACTAAAATACAAAAATTAGCTGGGTGTGGTGGTGGACACCTGTAATCCCAGCTACTTGGGAGGCTGAGGCAGGAGAATCACTTGAATCTGGGAGGCAGAGGTTGCAGTGACCCAAGATCGTGCCACTGCACTCCAGCCTGGGCGACGGAGTGAGACACCATCCTGGAAACAAAAAAAAAAAAGGGTTTTTTTGCTCAAGTTAAATGGAGAAGGTTAGAATCATATTCTCCTCTCTTGGAAATCGTACAATGTAGAGCAGCACCATGGGTCTCACTGGTGTTTCGTGAAATCCCTGGGCCTCAAGAGAGCCGAGGCCTAGAATGACGTCACAAAGAGTCGATGCAGAATCCAAAGTGAAATTCAGATGTTCAGATGTGTGTGATCTTGCATGTGTGCATACGTGTGCGTGTGTGTGTGTGAATGTGTGTGCAAGTGTGTGCCCGTGTGTTTGCAGTAATCTGAAGGATTTTTTTTTTGAGACAGAGTTTCGCTCTTGTTGCCCAGGCTGGAGTGCAGTGGTGCAGTGTCGGCTCACTGCAATCTCCACCTCCCAGGTCCAAGCGATTCTCCTGCCTCAGCCTCCTGAGTAGCTGGAATTACAGGCATGCGCCACCAGGCCCAGCTAATTTTGTATTTTTAATAGAGCCGGGGTTTCTCCATGTTGGTCAGGCTTGTTTCGAACTCCTGACCTCAGGTGATCCACCCACCTTGGCCTCCCAAAGTGCTGGGATTACAGGTGAGAGCCACCGTGCCCGGCAATAATCCTAAGCATTAGCATAATGAATATTTGTATGTATCTAGATACAAATTTAGAACACTTTCCCGCCCTCATCCCCCCTTCCCAACCAGTGCCCCCCACAGAGGCAGACACTCTCCTGATTTACAGCTGTAGATGAGTTTGGCTTGTTGAATTTCATACAAATGGACTCACACTTTATGAGGCATTGGAAATTTAGCTTCTTTTTTTATGAGATGGAGTGTCACTCTGTTGCCAGGCTGGAGTGCAGTGGTTAGGTCTCGGCTCACTGCAACCTCTGCCTCCCAGGTTCAAGTGATTCTCCTGCCTCAGCTTCTCAAATAGCTGAGACTAGAGGTGTGTGTCACCATGCCTGGCTAATTTTTGTATTTTTAGTAGACACACAGGGTTTCGCTCTGTTGGCCAGGCTGGTCTCGAACTCCTGACTTTGAGTGATTCAGCTTCCCAAACTGCTGGGATTACAGGCATGAGCCCGGCCAAAGTCTGGCTTCTTTCACCCAAAGTAATGTCCGTGAGATGTATCTGTGATCTTGGGCGTTGTATATGGATCTGTATTGCTATATATGCATGAATGTAGCTTAACTGCTGAATTCATTGCCCTGTTAATGATCCTTAAGCCACAGTGCACAAAAATACACCACCCACCTTTGGAAACCTTCCATTTGCTTTCCATTGTGAATAAACCATAACATCCCAGAGGGAAGGGGCGATGCTCCCTTCTTCCAAGGCTACATTCCTAGCAGAGTGACTACTTCATAGGCGCTTTAATTTGATTAATGCATTCGGTAAGTAATTTATTAAAATAATGCATTGATATGATTAGGGATTGGCCGGGCGAGGTGGCTCACGCCTGTAATCCTAGCACTTTGGGAGGCTGAGGAGGATGGATCACCTGAGGTCAGGAGTTCAAGACCAGCCTGGCCATCATGGTGAAACCCCATCTTAAAAAAAAAAAAAAAGAAAAGAAAAAGAAATTTAAAAAGATATTATTAAGGATTCTCCAGGAATTGGCTTGTCCTCCGTGTTTATAAAGATCCGAAAGAATGAGGAATGACTGTATTGATTTTTTCATTCTCCCGCTTTTCCATTTAAGATCATTTATCTCCTCAGAAATCCCAGAGATGTTCTCGTGTCTGGTTATTTTTTCTGGAAACAAATTACGTTTGTTAAGAAACCAAAGTCATGGGAACAATATTTTGAATGGTTCTGTCAAGGACATGGTGAGTGTTTCGCAAAATATGGAAGGTGGGGGGTGCTCAGAGTCCTCCAGTGAACCTCATTTGACACCCAGCCTCACATCTCCACCCCTCACCAACCCATGGGCCGAAGGCTCCACCACCCTGGAGGTCAAATCTGCTGACTTCGCCTCCTCTATCACGCGGCAGCAGAACTCTACCCAGCCCCTCAGCTTGCCCCGTGATAAAGCATCCTAGCTATTTTCTAAGCCTCTGGAACCTCCAATACCAGCACAGGCAACTTATAGTCTCCTCTGCTCTCCCAATGTACAGATTTCTGGAAGGTAGCTTCTCGCTGGACCACACGATCTGACCTTTCACCATTTTTTTTCTGATGCATCTTTCCAAAACTCCCTGAATGCCCTTTTTCTTTTCTTTTTTTTTTTGAGACGGAGTTTCGCTCTTGTTACCCAGGTTGGAGTGCAATGGCGCGATCTCGGCTCACCGCAACCTCCGCCTCCTGGGTTCAAGCAATTCTCCTGCCTCAGCCTCCTGAGTAGCTGGGATTACAGGCATGCGCCAACATGCCCAGCTAATTTTTTTTTGTATTTTTAGTAGAGACGGGGTTTCACCATGTTGACCAGGATGGTTTCGATCTCCTGACCTCGTGATCCACCCGCCTCGGCCTCCCAAAGTGCTGGGATTACAGGCTTGAGCCACCGCCCCTGGCGAATGCTCTTTTTCTATTTGTCTCATGCCTGTTTGCGTGACTCTAGGATGTCTATAAATTTAGTTATGTAGAATTTCTGGGCTTTTTCAGCACTTTCCATTTTCCGATTGATCCCAAAATTCTGTGAGTCTGTGTCTCAGCAGTCCCAGCAATACAGCAGCCACAGATACTTCCATTAGAGAGAACCACTGATGCCTCTAATTCAGTTCTAACTCAAATTTGAACACCTTTCTCGCTGGGTGAGGTGGCTCACGCCTGTAATCCTAGCACTTTGGGAGGCCGAGGCCAGTGGATCACCTGAGATCAGGAGTTCAAGACTAGCCTGGCCAACGTGATGAAACCCTGTCTCCACTAAAAATACAAAAAATTAGCTATTGTGGTGGCAGGTGGCTGTAATCCCAGCTACTCGGGAGGCTGAGGCACAAGAATTGCTTGAACCTAGGAGGCAGAGGTGGCAGTGATCCAAGATCAAGCCACTGCACTCCATCCTGGGCAACAAAATTGAAACTCTGTCTCCAAAAAAAAAAAAAAAATTGACCGCCTTTCTCCCATGCTTCTAGCGCAGGCCTATCTGGCTCCACTCCTCACCTGAAGGCTAGCATGAGTCTAATATTTCTTAAGCATCCACTTTTCCCATCCCAATCCCCCAGCCCCCTCACCACTTCCTTTCTCTAATGATTAATCAAGTCCCACCATCTTCATTAACATCCTCGTTCCTGTCTCTGCTAACACAGTGCCATTCTCAGGGAAGCCCACCGTTGTAACGTGCCGTAAAACAGCAACGCGCCCCATCTCCATTGCCTAACCTACTCTTTCTCCAGTACTTATCACCCACAAGCCTGTATTTATCTGTTTATCCCACGTGTCTCCTCACGAAAATGTAAGCTCTTTGCATTGTCCATTGTTGGGCCCTAGGTCCTAAAATAATTCTTGCCACACGCTCGTCATTCAGTGCCCCTTTTTACTATCATGACTACTTTTGAATTTTTAAAAGTTTTTCTTTTCTTATCTTTTCTTTTTTTTCCCTCCCCCTTGGGTCAAACTCTGTTCAATTTCTTTTCTTTTCTTTTTTCTTTTTTTTTTTTTTATACAGAGTTTCGCTCTTGTTGCCCAGGCTAGAGTGCAATGGCACAATCTTGGCTCACCGCAACCTCAGCCTCTTGGGTTCAAGCGATTCTTCTGCCTCGGCCTCCTGAGTAAGCTGGGATTACAGGCATGCGCCACCACGCCCAGCTAATTTTGCATTTTTTCAGTAGAGACTGGGTTTCTCTGTGTTGGTCGGGCTGGTCTCAAACTCCTGACCTCAGGTGATCCTCCTACCTCAGTCTCCCAAAGTGCTGGGATTACAGGCGTGAGCCACCACACCCTGCCTCATTTTTAATTCTTTTTAAGAGATGGGGTCTCACCCTGCCACCCAGGCTGGAGTATGGTAGCACAATCGTGGCTCATCACAGCCTCGACCTCCTGGGCTCGAAAGATCCTCCCACCTCAGCCTCCTGAGTATGTGGGACTATAGACATGCGTTTTTTTTAATTTTTTAATTAAAATTTTTTAATTTTTTCAAAGAGATGGGGTCTTGCTGTGTTGCCCAGGCTGGTCTGAAACTCCTAGCCTCAACAATCCTCCTGCCTAGACTTCCTGCGTAGACTTCCCTAGATTACAGCTGTGAGCCACTGCACCCAGCCTATTCAGTACACCTTTTTTAGATACTAAGTGTCCATCTTCCACCACTTCCGCTGACACTTGGTTAACCAGACCCACTGTTCAGTGTCACCTAGATTCACATCATACATTCATCACCAGTATCCTCTTTGGCCCTGCCAGGCTACATTGCAATGATCTGCCACAGACTGAAAAGCTCGTTCTCTGTCTACAACCATCCCTCAATGATTTGCTCTTGGCATGAAGTCCAGCCTTCAAAGCCTGGTCATAGTTCCTGCTGAGCTGACCCCGGCTGAGCTCTTCAGCCCTATCCCCTCCCTTGCCCCGGGTCAGACTTTCAGAAAAAGGTCAACAGTGAGACCGTATGATGGAAGCCCAGACATGAGAAAAACCCCTTACCAATGCTAGATTTGACTTTGCTGTCTGGCTTATGAAGAGGTCTGGACTGGGTGCTTCAGCTCTCACCAGGAATCTTGGAAAATCTAATCAATAGCAGTGGCTCAAGAAATCACATCCTGTAAACCCCCTCACTATCCCTACATCTTGCCTATCTGTGCTTTAAACACTGGCCAGGCACGATGGCTCACACCTGTAATCCCAGCACTTTCGGAGGCTGATGCAGGAGGATCACAGGAGGTTAGGGGTTCCAGACAAGACTTGTTAACACGGTGAAACCCCGTCTCTACTAAAAATACAAAAATTATCCGGGCATGGTGGTGGCGCACACTTGTCATCCCAGCTACTCGGGAGGCTGAGGCACGAGAATCACTTGAACCCAGGAGGCAGAGGCTGCAATGAGCCAAGATGGCACCACTGCACTCCACCCTGGGCAACAGAGCAAGACTCTGCCTCGAAAGTAATAATAATAATGGGCCAGGCGCGGTGGTTCTCGCCTGTAATCCCAGCACTTTGGGAGGCCGAGGCGGGTGGATCACGAGGTCAAGAGATCGAGACCATCCTGGTCCATATGGTGAAACCCCGTCTCTACTAAAAATACAAAAAACTAGCTGGGCATGGTGGCGCGTGCCTGTAGTCCCAGCTACTCAGGAGGCTGAGGCAGGAGAATTGCCTGAACCCAGGAGGCAGAAGTTGTGGTGAGCTGAGATCGCACCATTGCACTCCAGCCTGGGTAACAAGAGAGAAACTCCATCTCAAAATAATAATAACAACAGTGTATCCCATACTTGACAATTGCTGAGAGAGACCATCTCCCATGTTCTCACCACCCCACGGAAAACAGTAAGTATGTGAGGAAATGAATGTGTTAATCAGCTTGAGTCCGTCTGATCTGGTTTGGCTGTGCCCACCCCAATCTCATCCTGAATTGTAATCCTCATAATCCCCACGTGTCGTAGGAGGGGCCCGGTGGGAAGAGATTGCATCATGGTGGCAGTCTCCCCCCTGCTGTTCTCGTGATAGTGAGTTCTCACGAGATCTGATGGTTTCATCAGGGTCTGGCATTTCCCCAGCTGCCACTCACTTCACCCGCTTTTGTAAATTACCCCATCTTGGGCAGCCCTTCATAGCAGTGCGAAAACTGAATGATACACTGTCATTTCGCAAGGTATGCACATATCAAAACATCATGTTATATACTTTAGAGGGCGTTGGTGCCCTTTGACCAAGTTTCATTCTAGTTTTCTTTGTGGATTACACTTTAACAAGCCAGCGGGAAAGTGGACGTAACAGATTGGATCCCTGCTCTTATCAAGTTTTTAACCCATCGCTCTTTCTCCAACCCATGCAGTGATATATGGGTCATGGTTTGACCACATTCACGGCTGGATGTCCATGAGAGGGAAGGAAAACTTCCTGTTACTGAGTTACGAGGAGCTGAAGAAGGTAATCCTTTTCAGTGGGGCCTGGTGAAGAATCACAAAGAGTGGGATTTTTTTTCTTTTTTTTTTTTTTTTGAGACGGAGTTTTGCTCTTGTTACCCAGGCTGGAGTGCAATGGCGCCATCTTGGCTCACCACAGCCTCTGCCTCCTGGGTTCAGGCAATTCTCCTGCCTCAGCCTCCTGAGTAGCTGGAATTACAGGCATGCGCCACCATGCCCAGCTAATTTTTTGTATTTTTAGTAGAGACAGGGTTTCACCATATGGACCAGGATGGTCTCGATCTCTTGACCTCGTGATCCACCCGCCTCAGCCTCCCAAAGTGCAGGGATTACAGGCATGAGCCACTGCGCCCGGCCTAAAGAGTGGGGTTAACTCCCTGGTCTTCATTGCCCTGTTTCTGGTTGACCCTTGTCCAAGCTTCATGCTCCTTATTTCATCTTAAAACATCTAAGCCAGGTGCAGTGGCTCACGCCTGCAATCCCAGCACTTTGAGAGACTGAGGCGGGTAAATCACGAGGTCAGGAGTTTGAGACCAGCCTGGTGAAGGTGGCGAAACCCTTTCTCTACTAAAAATACAAAAATTAGCCTGATGTGGTGGCGGGCACCTATAGTCTCAGGTACTGAGGAGGCTGAGGTGGGAGAATCACTTGAACCCGGGAGGTGGAGGTTGCAGTGAGCTGAAATCATGCCATTGCACTCCAGCCTGGGCAACAGAGTGAGACTCTGTCTCCAAAAAAAAAAAAGAAGAAGAAGAAGAAGAAGAAGGCCAGGTGGGGTGGCTCACACCTGTAATCCCAGAGCTTTGGGAGGCCAAGGTTGGTGGATTACTTGAGGTCAGGAGCCTGACCAACATGGTGAAACCCTGCTCTACCAAAAATAAAAAAAATTAGCCAGGGCCAGGCACAGCGGCTCACACCTGTAATCCCAGCACTTTGGGAGGCCGAGGCGGGCAGATCATGAGGTCAAGAGATCAAGACCATCCTGGCCAACATGGTAAAACCACGTCCCTACTAAAAATACAAAAATGAGCCGGGCATGGTGGCGCACACCTGTCGTCCCAGCTACTCGGGAGGCTGAGGCAGAATTGCTTGAACCCAGGGGGCGGAGGTTGCAGTGAGCTGAGCTTGCACCACTGCACTCCAGCCTGATGACAGAGCAAGACTCCGTCTCAAAAAAAAAAAAAAAAAAATTAGCCAGGTGTGGTGGTAGACACCTCCTCAGCTACTGAGGAGGCTGAGACAGGAGAATCGCTTGAACTCAGGAGGCGGAAGTTGCAGTGAGCCAAGATCATGCCACTGCACTTCAGCCTGGGCAACAGAGTGAGATCTTGTCTCTAAATAAATACATAGATAAAATAAATAAAAATCTATGCTCTTCTCTAAATAAATACATAGATAAAATAAATAAAAATCTATGCTCTTATCTTAATCTCCCAGGATCATGACCCTAGTCCTAATTATTGAGATGAAATACAAGAAGATATTGCAAAACTCTGTGTGTTATTCAAACAGTGCTAGTAGACAGCACAGCAGAATTTGAAATGAAGCCCTTACATCTCCATCAGGTTCTCCCTGAACCTCTCCTTGCTAATCCTGTTACTGTCTAGAAGCTGCTCTCAACATCTCTTAGGAAACCCAAGGCTCTGTGTTTTATAGTCTGGTTCGGTTTGCTTGTTTGAGACAGAGTCTCGCTCTGTCGCCCAGGCTGGAGTGCAGTGGCATGATCTCAGCTCACAGCAACCTCCGCCTTCCAGGTTTAAGCGATCCTCCTGCCTCAGCCCCCTAGCAGCTGGGACTACAGGCGTGAGCTACCCATGCCCGGCTAAGTTTTGCATTTTTAGTAGAGACAAACAGGGTTTCACCGTGTTGACCAGGCTGGTCTCGAACTCCTGACCTCAGGTGATCCACTCGCTTCGGCTGCCCAAAGTGCTGGGATTACAGGCGTGAGCCTCTGCTCCTGGGCTGCTTTACTGTTCGGCTGCCCTACACTCTACCACACAGGAAAATCCATGAAGATCCTTGCATCTTTTGTGATTTTGTTTTGGTTGGTTTGGTTTTTGCTTTGTTTTGTATTTGAGACAGGGTCTCACTCCGACGCCCAGGCTGGAGTACAGTGATGCAGTCACAGCCCACTGCAGCCTCAGCTTCCTGGGTTCAGGCGATCCTCCCACTATATTGCCCAGGCTGGTAACAAACTCCTGGACTCAAGTGACGCGCCTGCCTCAGCCTCCCAAAGCACTGGAATTACAGGCATGAGCCACTGCACCCAGCGGATCCCTGCGTCTTTTACATACTTCATGCCCTCTCTCCTTCACCTTATTCTTTTTTTTTTTTTTTTTTTTTTTGAGACAGAGTTTCGCTCTTCATACCCAGGCTGGAGTGCAATGGCGTGATCTCGGCTCACCGCAACCTCCGCCTTCTGGGTTCAAGCAATTCTCCTGCCTCAGCCTCCCGAGTAGCTGGACTACAGGCGCACACCACCATGCCCAGCTAATTTTTGTATTTTTTTAGTAGAGACGGGGTTTAACCTTGTTGACCAGGATGGTCTTGATCTCTTGACCTCGTGATCCACCTGCCTCAGCCTCCCAAAGTGCTGGAATTACAGGCATGAGCCACCACGCCCGGCCTCACCTGATTATTTTCTCACAGTTGCATTCATCTCAAACCCTTCTCACCTCTGCATGTCACTCCTCTCTTTTCCTCCTCCTTTTCTGCAGTTTCCTCCTTCTCATTTTATTTTTTAATCGTTTTTTTTTTTTTTTATAAGGCCTTGCTCTGTCACTCAGGCTGGAGTGCAGTGGTGCGATCTTGGCTCACCACAACCTCCACCTCCTGGCCTAAACGATTCTCCTGCCCCAGCCTCCTGAGTAGCTGAGATTACAGGCGCCCACCACGCCCTGCTAATTTTTGTAATTTTAGTAGAGACAGGGGTCTCACCATGTTGGGCAGGCTGGTCTCGAACTCCTGATCTCAAGTGATCTGCCAGCCTCGGCCTCCCAGAATGCTGGGATTACAGGCGTGAGCTACCGTGCCCGGCCCCCTCTTTCTCTTTCGTAGCCTCTGTCTTGCTTTTTTCTTTTTTAGGACACAAGAAGAAATGTGGAGAAAATCTGTCAATTTCTGGGAAAGACACTAGAACCTGAAGAACTGAACTTAATCCTCAAGAACAGCTCCTTTCAGGCCATGAGAGAAAACAGGATGTCCAATTATTCCCTCCTAAGGGTTTATTCTGTGGTGGACAATCCACAACTTTTGAGAAAAGGTAAAAGAAAATGCCTTGGTTTCCAAAGATACCAGAATACACGGCACACGTGCCTGTGGTCACAACAGAGCGCTAACAGTTGAGATGAAAGAGTGCTTGAATTTTGCTAGCACAGAGAAGGCTGAAAAAAAAAAAAAACAAAGTAAAAAAGAAAAAAAAAAGAGGGCTTGAATTAATCAGCTTTGGTTTTTTATTTTTGTCTATTTGTCTGTTTTGCAAGACAGAGTCTTGCTCTGTCGCCCTGGCTGGAGTGCAGTGGCATGATCTCGATCTCGGCTCACTGCAACCTCTGCCTCCCGAGTCCAAGCGATTCTCCTGCCTCAGCCTCCCGAGCAGCTGGGATTACAGGCACCTGCCACCATGCCCGGCTAATTTTTGTATTTTTAGTAGAAACAGGGTTTCAGCATCTTGGCCAGGCTGGTCTTGAACTCCTGACCTTGTGATTCACCCGTCTCGCTCTCTCACCCAGGCTGGAGCGCAGTGGTACCATCTCGGCTCACTGCGGCCTCCGTCTCTCAGGTTCAAGCGATTCTCCTGCCTCAGCCTCCCGAGCAGCTGGGATTACAGGCACCTGCCACCATGCCTGGCTAATTTTTGTATTTTTAGTAGAGACAGGATTTCACCGTGTTGACCAGGATGGTCTCAGACTCCCAACCTCGTGATCCACCCGCCTCAGCCTCCCAAAGTGCTGGGATTACAGGTGTGAGCCCCCACGCCGGCCAATGTATCAGCTTTAACTGCTCACCACCCGGAACACTTCTCCCGTGGCCTCATCGGGGAGCCTCTTCTCCTGGTCCTGATGTGGGCTGCAGGCACGAGGGGAGAGTTGATTTCACCTGGGAGGGTTATCTGACTTACCTGAGGCCGTTCAGATTCTGTCTCCTCAGACTGTGGCATGGGCAATTATGTGTTCCACAGGCAGTGACCAGGCTCACTTGCTGCTCTTGCCAGACCTGCGAGCTGAGATTCACCTGAGAAATGAGGACAAGGACGGGGTTGGAGGTGGACACAGTGGGGCTGCCCCACTGGCCAGTTAGTGTAGAGATCGGTCCCGGACAAAGAAATATATAGAGGAGGCCGGGCGCGGTGGCTCACGCCTGTAATCCCAGCAGTTTGGGAGGCCGAGACCGGCAGAACATGAGGTCAAGAGATCAAGACCCAACATGGTGAAACCCCGTCTCTACTAAAAATACAAATATTAGCCAGGCGCGGTGGCGCACACCTGTTAGTCCCAGCTACTCAGGAGGCTGAGGCAGGAAAATCACTTGAACCCGGGAGGCGAAAGTTGCAGCCAGCTGAGATCACACCACTGCACTCCCGCGTGGGTGACAGGGTGAGACTCCATCTGAAAACAAAAGACTTCAAGTGGAGCAGGGCCCCTGCCGCCCTGGGGGCAGAGCAGAGCTTTGAGACTTGGAAGATTGCTCCGGAGCCTTAAAACCAGATGGAATTTGCCCTGCTGGCTTTTGGGTTGCATGGGAGCTCCTCCTCCTTTCTGATTTCTCTCTTTTGCGATGGGAATATCTATCCTATGCCTGTCCCACCAGCGAATTTTGAAAGCAGAGAACCGGTCTAGTTTCACAAGTCAGCAGCTAGAGGGGAATTCTGCCTCGGGGGAGTCACACCTCAAGTGTCCCCGTGCCTGTGAGCGGTGTGTCTGTGAGATTTTGGACGCAGAGTGGGTACTGGAATGGGTGAAGACTGTGGAGCTGCTGGGATGGGGTGCGTGTGTTTTGCATGTGAGAAGGACATGGATGGGGGGCAGAGGCAGAGTGATATGGGTGGAGTGCTGTTTCCCCAAATTGATATGTTGAAGTCCCATCCTCCAGCACCTCAGAACGTAATCCTACTTGAACATAAGGTCTTTAAGTCCAAGTGAGGTTCATCAGGTGGACCCTTAAGAGGTTTATAGGGTGGAGTAGTGTCCTCCTGAGGAGAGGACGCTTGGGCACAGACATGTGCACACGCAGAGAGAACATGGAAGGACGCGGGATGTTTGCAGGGCACCAATTCCATAGTAGCCATTCTGCGATATCATTCACAGTCATAGAAGAGTATATGATTTGGCCGGGTGCAGTGGCGCATGCCGGTAATCCCAGCACTTTGGGAGGCTGAGGCAGGTGACCACCTGAGGTCAGGAGTTGAAAACCAGCCTGGCCAACATGGTGGAACCCCATCTCTACTAAAACTACAAAAATTAGCTGGACTTGGTGGCAGGTGCCTGTAATCCCAGCTACACAGGAGGCTGAGGCAGGAGAACCACTTGAACCCGGGAGGCAGAGGCTGCATGAGCCAAGATTGTGCCACTGCACTCCAGCCTGGGGTATAGAGCAAGATTCTGTCTCCAGAAAAAAAAAAAAAAAAAAAGCAGAGACCAGTTACATGTGTGCTGGAGTAATCCAGGTGGAAAATGATGTTGGCTTGGGTCAACGTGGTGGGGACAGGGACGTGACTCAATTCTGGACATATCAGATGGTATCCTGGCATTATTGCTGGTCAGTTGTACACAGGATGGATGGGAGAGAGGAGAAGGAAGGAACTCGCTTCCAGGTAGGTGAATGATTCTGTTAACCAGGCAGGATAAAGGCCCACCATGAGCCATCGGCCATTCCGCTATATGAGCTACAGTGTCCCCAGCAGGTGCATGGTAGGAACAGGAGACCTGTTGGTGTCCTGCAACCCATCCTCCATGTGCAGTGGCTCACGCCTGTCATCACAGCACTTTGGGAAGCCAAGGTGGGCAGACCACCAGGTCAGGAGTTTGAGACCAGCCTGGTCAACATGGTGAAATACTGTCTCTACTAAAAATACAAAAATTAGTTGGGCATGGAGGTGGGCGCCTATAATCCCAGCTACTCAGGAGGCTGAGGCAGGAGAATCTCTTGAACCCAGGAGGCGGAGGTTGCAGTGAGCCGAGATCGCGCCATTGCACTCCAGCCTGGGCGACAGAGCAAGACTCCATCTGACCTGAGTCTCTGTTTCATGTTTGCAGGCATATCTGGGGACTGGAAAAACCACCTCACAGTGGCCCAATCGGAAGCCTTCGATAAGCTGTTCCAAGAGAAGATGGCAGATCTCCCTCGAGAGCTCTTCCCATGGGAATAACGTCCGAAACACTCTGGGTCTTATATAGATGCTGACATGTGTCCCGCTATCCTGTACAAGTGCCTGACTGGGGGTCATCGCCTAAGACTTCCTGCTTTATCCTGAATCCATAAATATCAAACCTCTGCATCTCTGATCCCTTCGTTGTTAAAAGTTACTGGCGGGCCGGGTGCGGTCGCTCACACCTATAATCCCAACACTTTGGGAGGCTGTGGTGGGTACATCATGAGGTCAGGATCACGGTTCGAGACCAGCCTGGCCAACATGGTGAAACCCCGTCTCTACTAAAAATACAAAAATTAGCTAAGCATGATGGTGGTTGCCTGTAATCCCAGCTACTTAGGAGGCTGAGGCACAAGAATTACTTGAACCTGGGAGGTGGAGGTTGCAGTGAGCTGAGATCATGCCATGGCACTCCAGCCTGGGTGACAGAGGGAGACTCTGTCTCAAAAAAAAAAAAAAAAAAAAACCTTAAGTTTTGTTCCACAAAAGAACCAAAGAACCTATAAAGAGAATGAAAAGATAGGCCGAGCACAGTGGCTCACACCTGTAATCCCAGCACTTTGGGAAGTCAAGGTGGGTGGATCATCTGAGATCAGGAGTTCAAGACCAGCCTGGCCAACATAGTGAAACCCTGTCTCTACTAAAAATACAAAAAATTAGCTAAGCATGATGGCAGTTGTCGGTAATCCCAGCTACTTGGGAGGCCGAGGCAAGAGAATCGCTTGAGCCCGGGAGGCGGAGGCTGCAGTGAGTTATGATCGCACCGCTGCACTCCAGATGGGTGACAGAGTGAGACTCCATCTCCAAACAACAGTATTGTATTTTCTAGGTGTTTGGTTTTAACTTAAATTACACAAGTGGGAAGAAATATGTTGCCTCTGTGCCTTTTCCGTGCTTTTCTCCCACTTGAATGTGGGGTGTCTCTCCCCGATCCCACGCGGAGGTCTCCTGTACAGAACCAGTAGCTCTAGGTGGCTCCTGGGACACCCAGGACCAAGCTCTCGCTGGGCGCTCCCTTGGCTGGAACAGTGGTGTGCTGTTGCCCCCTGGTGGCCAGGGCGCATCACAACAGGAATGTGGAAGCCGAGGACTCTCCCAGTTCTGGGGGGGTGCCCCTGAATGAACCCCGTCTCTGGTCTGACTGTGTCTCTAGGGACACAACTGCCTCTCCAAGTAACCGCAATAAAAACCCACAAAACCCTTCAGTCATTTCATGCCAGGCATTTTTTTCATAAGAATTTCAGAGCAGTCTGGGGTTTTTTCTTTTCTTTTTTTTTTTTTTTTTTTCCCAGATGGAATCATGCTCTGCGGCCCAAGCTGGAGGGCAGTGGTGCGATCTCACCTGATTGCAACCTTCGCCTCCCTGGCTCAAGCAATTCTCAGCCTCACGAGTGGCTGGGATCACAGGTTCGCGCCACCACACCGGCTAATTTTTGTATTTTTAGTAGAGACGGAGTTTCACCAGGTTGGTCACACCAGTCTTGAACTCCTGGACTCAATCCATCCTTCCGCCTCGGCTTCCCAAAGTTCTGGGATTTGAAAGCATGAGCCACCTTGCCTGGCTCTGAAAACCTTTTTTTTTTTTTTTTTAAGAGACAGGGTTTCACCATGTTGGTCAGGCTGGTCTTGAACTCCTGACTTCAGGTGATCCGCCCGCCTCGACCTCCCAAAGTGCTGGGATTACAGGCGTGAGCCACCGCGCCCGGCCCCTGAAAACCTTTTATAAGTAACTAATTTACTGGTGGCTACTGTATTCATTTGGTATAAAAATAATGACCATCCACATCTTTCTCTTTATGGCACTTGATTTTATCTAGGTGGATTTCTGTGAAAAAGACAATCAGATAAGGCAATTTTTAGTTTTCTTTTACTAAAGTCTTTTGTTTATTTGAGACAGTCTCACTCTGCCACCCAGGCTGGAGTGTAGTGGCACAATCTTTGCTCACTGAAGCCTCTGCCTCCCCATTTCAAGCAATTCTCATGCCTCAGCCTCCCAGCTAGCTGGGATTATAGGCACCCGCCACCACGCCTGGCTAATGTTTGTATTTTTAGTAGAGAGGGGTTTTCACCATGTTGGCCAGGCTGATCTCAAATTCCTGACCTCAGGTATTCAGCCCACCTCAGCCTCCCAAAGTGCTGGGATTACAGGCGTGAACCACGGTGCCTGGCTTTGGTGTCTTTTTTTGTTTTTTTGAGGTGGAGTCTCACTCTGTTGCCCGGGCTGGAGCGCAGTGGTGCAATCTCAGCTCACTGCAACCTCTGCCTCCCGGTTTCAAGCAATTCTCCTGCCTCAGCCTCCAAAGTAGCTGGGATTACAGGTGCACACCACCATGCCCAGCTAATTTTTGTATTGTTTTTTAGTAGACACAGGATTTCACCATGTTGGCCAGGCTGGTCTTGAACTCCTGACCTTGTGATTTACCCATATCAGCTTTCCAAAATACTGGAATTACAGGCATGAACCACCACTCCTGGCCTCCTGGTGTCTTAATAATGACAGACATCAACTCCCTGGAGTCTGTCTACTGCACGGCAGGAATCTGAGACGAGCAGTACTCAAAATTGCCTCAGAGTTTTAAAACATACTGGTACCCCACCCCACCAACCTCACTTTTTTTTTTTTAAGAGATGGGGCGCCAGGCTCGGTGGCTCACGCCTGTAATCCCAGCACTTTGGGAGGCCGAGGCGGGTGGATCACGAGGTCAAGAGATCGAGACCATCCTGGCCAACATAGTGAAACTCCATCTCTACTAAAATATAAAAAATTAGCTGGGCGTGGTGGTGTGCATCTGTAGTCCCAGCTACTCGGGAAGCTGAGGCAGGAGAATTGCTTGAACCTGGGAGACGGAGGTTGCAGTGAGCCGAGATCGTGCCACTGTACTCCAGCCTGGCACCTGATGACAGAGCAAGACTCTGTCTCAAAAATAAAAATAAAAAATAAAGAGATGGGGCAGGCCAGGCACCGTGGCTCAAACCTATAATCCCAATGCTTGAGGAAGCTGAGATGGGAGGATCACTTGAGCCCAGGAGTTCAAGACCAGCCTAGGCAACATTCCGAGATCCCCACCTCTACAGGAAACAAAAATTAGCCTGGCTTGGTGGCACATGGCTGTAGCCATAGCTACTAGGAGGCTGGGATGGGAAGATTGCAGGAGCCCAAGAGTTCGGGGTTGCAGTGAGCTCTGATCACACCACTGCACACCAGCCTGGGTGACAGAGCGAGACTCTGTCTCAAACAAACAAAAACAGGAAATCAGAAACTAGATCCAGGAACCTAGGATGAGGCAGGGTGTTGAAGCAGGAGGTTTGGCTGGGCTCCACGGCTCATGCGCTTTGCAATCCCAGCAGTTTGGGAAGCTGAGGCAGGAGGATCACATGAGGTCAAGAGTTAGAAACCAGCCTCAGAAACATGGTGAAACCCCATCTCTACAAAATACACAAAAATTGGCCAGGTGCAGTGGCTCACACCAGTAATCCCAGCACTTTGGGAGGCCGAGGCGGGCGGATCACCAGGTCAGGAGTTTGAGACAAGCCTGACCAACATGGTGAACCCCTGTCTCTACTAATAGAAAAATTAGCTGGGCGTGGTGGGGCATGCCTGTAATCCCAGCTACTCAGGAGGCTGAGGCAGGAGAATCGCTTGAACCCAGAAGTCGGAGGTTGCAGTGAGCCGAGATCATGCTCCTACACTCCAGCCTGGGTGACAGAGAGAGACTCTGTCTCAAAAAAAAAAAAAAAAAATAGCTGGGCATGGTGGCACAAGCCTATAATCCAAGCTACTCAGAAGACTGAGGCATGAGAATCTCCTGAGCCTGGGAGGTGGAGGTTGCAGTGAGCCAAGATTGTGCCACTGCACTCCGACCTGGGTGACAGAGTCAGACCCTGTCTGCAAAAAAAAGAATTGAGGTTAAAAAGAGGGGAATTGTGTTCTAGTAATCCCGTCACTTTCTACTCAGCTAATCAGGGCACGTGCAAACTCCATCTTCATTCATTAACAAACTAATCTTTTTCCCATTCACTGATATGGCAGGAGCACCACCCTCCCTCCCCCATCCCCAGGATGGGACTCTGAATCCACAGTCAGACTGGACCACCTCTCCCCCTGCCCCCAGGATTCCCTCACCTGCAGTAGATGGAATTAGATTCCTCCCTACTCTTCCCACAGTGTCAGAGTCTGAATCTGACTGGTGTGGAGTTTCGGTGTTTTTGTGTGTATTTTCCTACCAGGGTCTGCTAAATAAGGAGGAGGTTTCATTATATCCTAAAAGTCTCCCCGCCCTCCCCCCCACCACACACACACGCACAGCCGTCCTCCCTTCCCCCCACATCTGATCTAATTCTCTCTCTGCTCTGCTGAGGCTGGCCTGGCCTAAGAGGATTAGAGCATTTGCTAAACCGGACTAGGACAGGGTCACAGAATCCGCTGTGTAGGTGGGGGCGGGGACCCAGGGCCAGGACGGCCACCAGGGAGCGGCAGAGGAAGCCAGACGCAGAGACAGGTGTGGAGCGTGGAGGAGGGGGCACTCCCTGGCTTAGCAAAAAACAGCGTCCACAGAGTAACCATGAATTCCATTCGTTTTCAAAATTTACAACATGCAGTAATTTATTAGAATTCAAAAGAATTGAGCAAGTTTCCCAGAAACAAAATAAATAGATCAACTGAATCCTCTGTACAAGACAAATGTGCTTCTTAACAATAAGAAATTTTAAATACCATGTAAAATATCAGACAATAATGAAAACGAAGTACAAGAAATAGATCTACAGAAATATGCATGCAAGATCTCTGTAGTTAAATAACATTTTGGCCAGGCACGGTGGCTCGAGCCTGTAATCTCAGCACTTTGGGAGGTGGAGACGGGAGAATCACTGGAACCTGGGAGGTGGAGGTTGCAGTGAGCCAAGTTTGTGCTGCTGCACTATACCCTGTGTGACAGAGCAAGACTCTGGCTCAAAAAAAAAAAAAAGAATATTTGTAAAGAAATCAACTACAAAAAATGGGCCCAAAACACCATGAATAGTCACTATTTAAATAAAAATGAGAAAAACATGTTTTTTAAAACAGTCACTATTTGAAGATTCCTAACGCCCATGAGAATTTCTCAACCTCTCAATCATCAGGTAAATGGATAT